GTGTATCACGAATGTCAAGCTTGCCACCCTGTGCATCAATGTAATCTTGAAGTCCAACAACATTGCAAGACTCACCAACATCACCATATGAAAGTGGTAAAGCACTTGTGTCAGCACCGGAGTCAAGGATAATCTCTGAGCTGAGTTCACCTGCTGCTGACATCATACGTACGTGGTTCCTGACAGGCAGATCGACGTTGCAACCTGGAGCACAAGTCCATGAGTTGTCCTGATCAGTGCAAGACATGTCAAACTGCTGTGAACATGCAAACTGAACCACACGAATGGAACTATGAGCTGCAGGCTGAAGAAACTCTGTCATATCTTCGATGACCACTGAGCTCTCATTGAAAGCTACTCGGTTCACATTCCCACCGGACCTGTATGATGTCGCACTGGTTGGGTGCTGAGCAGTCGAATGATTGCTGGGGCTAGATGCTGCCCTCTGTGTTGAATCCTCATTCTCCACTTGTCGAACCTGACCAGAAGCCTTGTCAGCTTGAAACTTCCGACAATCACGCTTCCAATGTCCATTGCCACCGCAGTAGTTGCAACGGTTTGCATCAGCATTCTTTGACTGATTCTTTCCTCCACCTTTGGCGGTTGAAGTTGCATACCCTTTGCCGCTCTGCTGTGACTTGCCTTTGCCCTTGTAGTTGCTGTTGTTGGATTTCCCTTTGTCCTTTCCTTTGCCTTTCGATCCTGATTTGCCCTTTGCACCTTTGCTCTTACCTTTGCCCTTTGAGATCTGATTGACCTCCATTGCAGTTGGACCACCACTGTCAGTTGTATATGAAGTCACTGCACCAAGCTCTGCATAGACTTTGTCCTTCGACCATGTCATGCTGAGTCTCTCGTAGGCAATGCACTTGTCCTTGACCAGCTGAAAAGTGCTGGCTTCGTCCATAGTCAGCTGCACATGTTGACGCAGCTGAGCAGGCAAACACTTCACGAGTGTTGTCAACAAGATGTCATCGTTGACATCAGAGCCACTTGCCCTACGATACTCATCAGCCAGTCGTTCAAGACCTTGAATCTGCTCGAGGATGGTGCGCTCCCTGACAAAAGATGGATGAGCCATCAAAGCATTGAGAATGCCCAGAGACCTCGTTTTGGTCCTAGGTGAATACAAGCTTGAAAGTTGTCGCCAAACTTCCAGTCCATTTGAATCCACAACCTGCTTGAGCAATTTGAGGGGTCGATGCACGAGCAAATCTGAAAGGATAGCATAAAGACGTTTGGATCTCTCCTTTGACTTCTCACCTTCTGGAGTCTGATTGTACACGATTGGACTGCTCAAGTGTTCCTCGATGTGTGTCAGATCAGTTTCATATCCAGGCTCTGCATAGTAAAGCCATTGTTTGAAAGCAAAACTGAAATCGAGCCACATTGATTGGTCCTCCGCTGAGTTGCTGCATCCAAACGGAGATGGGCACTTCACCACCTTACTGGCCTCTGAGAAGCCTGAACGTTGGCTCCTGTTCTGGTCATTTGCCTCCTTCAAGGCTTGAGCTGCCTCCGAAGCCGCTCTTGCCGCCAGGGTTACAGCTTCCAAAATCTGAGCCGCTTCTGTTGTCGCCATTGTAGCGTTACACCAGCAAAACAGTTCAGATTATCCAGTTGTAAACACAATCCAGCCAGAAATTGAAACACGTGAAGTCCTTGCTTGAAACCAATCCCAAATGCAGTCCAGTCCACCCAAAGCAAAAGTCGAAACCAGTCAAAAGTCAGAGTCCTGTCCACACGCGCTGATTGCTGCAGTCAGGAAGGGATCTATGGCTCTACCTACAGTCCTAAGCTGCAGGTTCAGCAGCCACCAGGTGGTTAGGGTCCTGCCACCTTTCTGAGCCCTCACCAGAGACTTTCGAATCTGGATCCTTGGGCTCCGCTACCATGCGAACTTTTCTGGAACCGAAAGCGCCTCAGAGTAAAACCTGAAATGCACTACTCGATTTGTGCAATGTCATCTGCACAGCTACACAACTGATGTGTACATGTACATGAATCCAAATGCCGAAGTATCTTTCAGATTCGCTTCCCTCTGACAGCCCTTTCAACTTCAGCATCCATGGAACTCCTCAAAATTGCTTCTTCTCTTTCAAGTTCTCTTGCTCTGGAACTCCACTTTTTGAAAAACTCTGCACGGCGCCTTGCAATCACATGAAAATCCTGAGTTGCCAGAGCGGTGATTGCCTCTGACAGAATCTCTGGCAGCGCCAAGGCAGGGGTCCTAGGATATTGAACCGTACATGCAATATCCAAAAACCCTTCCGGCTCCCACTGCATCCCAAACATTTTAAACCTGTCCAGAATAAAGTCAAGAACGCTGAGATCACTCAAATTCAAGCAAACATCCCACACTGACAACTCCGTTTTCACTCTCTGCAAGTGATCTTCATCTTCCAAAAGTTGCTTCACGCTCAATGTAACCCCCAGAGAAAATTCGTGGAGCAGTTTGCAAGGCGCAAGATTGATGGGCTAAGGTGGCCATACTTGCACAGAATCATGAAAAATGATGATAATCTTGGATTTGTAAGGAGACACCAAAGGTGGCAGTTTGAGAGACTTGGATTGCTCTGCTGTCAGCATGCTGCAACGATGGGCTGTTGGTGAAAGTAAGCCCCATCTCTGTCAATCGCAAAATAAATGAATGCACGATTGCTTCACACAGCAACTTAGGGTAATGTTTCTCCAGTGAAGTTGCAAAAACTCTTTTTGATGAGCCTTGCTTGACAAGGCCCCATGGCTCGTGCACGTGATTCCCTGGGCAAGTTGCTGCTATAGTTTCCACCTGAGGAAAGTTGGCTCCCAAACGTGTCCACTTTGGTCTCTTACCCCCATATGTGCATGCCTGGTGCTCTGCAAAGAAAAGGTGATGAGCACTGGATGCATCAGCCCATGCTGTTGTAAACCAAAACAAAGAGTTGCGAGGGTTTTCAACCATAAATAATTTCCCAAGCGAACAACAAGCTTCCAGAAGCTCAGCTGTAAATGCATACAAAATGTTGGCGGCACTGACACGCAAAAGATCTGTACCAGACAAATTGCTTAAGCCTTCTGGTTGTTCCCAAGACCTCAATGGCTTCGGGAGGTCCTCACCTGGCACTTCGATGTTGCGCGCCGCGCTTGCAGTTCCGCAGGGCGGGGCAACGAACACACCTTTCGCAGCTGGGTGCTGCAACCATTGCATAACCGCTTGTTGGTCTTCATCCTTGGTCAAATCCAGAGGTATGATGCCAGTCAATGCACCTGCGGTCTTTACTTTGTCTACAGCAACAGAATTTGACAAGCCATGTCTTTTAAAGCAGGCCGCAACGCCTCCTGTCCCAGCGAAAATCTCCAGAATTATACTGTCATGCACAGTGAAACTATACCCAATTGTCCTCCAAGTCAGTCTTGCCCTTTGGGCATCTCGTCCTTGTGCGCTGTGCAAAATGCATGCGCTTTGAAGCAGTTGGCCTTGAAGCAAACGTGGCGGCCCTTACTGCACGTCCCTCCAACAGCTGCGTCTGGGCACTCAGAAAGATTGAAATTGAAACACAAAAGTCTTCCACGATTGTCCCTTCCAACTGCACCTTTCACTCCCCTTGGAGCTGCGCTGGAGCCCTTCTGTCCTCCTTTGTTTTTGCCCTTGCCTTTCCGGCCTGAGCCTTTCCAGTTCTGATCCTCCCTTGGAGTTTGAAGTCCCTGTTTCTCACAGGAGCGTATGACGTCTGTGATGACAATGGCAAGGGCAACAAGTGAAAAGTAACCTCATAATAATCTGCTAAGGCCTCATCTAGGCCCTTGTCCAATGGTTTGGTGCCATGGGCTGCAGGCCTAATGTCAACAACATTCTGCGACAGGTACACCCAAACCTGCCTGTCAGCCCTCAGTATTTGGGTCATCGTGGTGGCCTGATAGTTGGCCGGAGGCTCTGAATTCAACCGTCTCATCAACTTGTCAATGTATCGCTCGTGGCAAGCAAATGAAATCAAGTTAGCAAACTCATATGCAATTGCTCTTCTCCTAAGGCACTGCTGCAACTTGTATGCATTTCCAACGTCCTCGTCCGGCACATTCTTGCTCTCCTTAACAGAAAGGCTATTAGCCTCTATGCGAAGCTTCCGGTCTGACCTGCCGGCCATCACCTCAGATTCCCTGCTATTGCACTTCGCAGGCTCCACATATCTAAGCAGTCTGTTTTCGTATTGAAAAACACACTCATCCAAAAGAGCCTGTGCTGGCTCGTTCACTCCAGAAATGTTCAATCCCGGAAACTGATTTTTGATCTGAAGCATGCGCGCTGACCTTTCTGCGTGAGGAAGAGGTTTAGGTGTTGCTGAATCTGCAGGTTGCTCGACTGAAGCACGAAAAGTAGATGTGACTATGATTTCAGCTTCAAAATGCAATCTTCTAAGTGCAGCTACTGTTCCCAACGTAGGCATCACTCCTCCGTTGACTGTTTTGTCCAGGACGGTTGATGGCGAAAGCAAGGTGCCCCATCGTACGAACACCTGCATTGGCCAGTGCATTGATCATGTCATTTGGAACACTGTGCTCTGCAGCTCTTGAAGTGAAGTGCGCATTGCTATCTGCAAGCGACGCCATGTGAAATCTCTACCAGTAAAATTATCAAAGTCACATGCCACTGCAAGTTCAAAACCAATGAGAAAACAACAACGCAAATGAAAGGCTGAGTTGCAGGCCAACCTTCAAAACAAATAACGTGACACACATGCAAGTGGAAACTGCCAAACAAACATGTGATGCAAATGAAACTCACAGATTCCAAGGTTCTGCATGTTGAAACACAACATCATTCTGCTGGAGCCTTCAGGGCTACCACATTTCAATGTGCTCACCACAGCTGGCGTCTCAGCGCCAGAATCAATCAAAGCTGTTTCAACAGCTGTTGAACTCAAGTTGACAGCAAGTGGCCAAAAATTATACAAACAACAGACATGTTGCCATTCAGGAGCGTCGACACAACGCTCTCCTTTTTGACCGCTGTGCAAAAGTCAAATGTCAAAGCATCGGGAGCACGTAATGCCGTGCAGCTCATACAACTCCACGAAATGTGGAGAAATCCGTCTGCCACATTTGAGCACGCCCACTGTACGCTCACAGTGAATGACCAGAGACTTGGAGTTCATGAAGAACTTCGTGACAGGATCAAGGAATTCCATCCTCCTGTCTTCTACTTCTTCTGCATCACTATCTGATGTGCTTTGCACACTATCGTCTTCGGTCGTGTCACTCTCAGGGCTTGAGCCCACCTCACTGTGGGCCAACTGATCCATCTCCAGACAATGCCAGCTTGCTGGGCTCTGCGCTTCTGTGCCTGTATGCGAATCGCCCAAGATCTCAGCTGACTCCATCACGTCCTGCTGATCAAGCTGGCCGTCCATCTTGTCTGCTTTGCAAGCTCCAGGCGTCTGTGGCACAGGCGCCAAGGGGACTTGGAAGGCCTGATCTGCTCCAGTCTGGCTGGAACATAGAAGCCCTGATAGCCTGCAGCATGTTCTCGAGCTCCTTCAAAACCGGAGAGAGAAAATCTCTGCTGTAAACTGCAGTTGTCGCATTCACGCAAGACATGTGTCGCGCCAAAACAGCACGTGCATTGTCACTGAGGCCGTACTTCGACGTCCAGGAAATCAAAGTAGACTTGCATGGAATCAGCGCCTTCTTCAGACGTCAAAGGTCTTTTCGTCCACGAGGTGTCACTCTCGTTCAGAGGGGCCCTCATCATAGGCATGGGCTCATCTGCAGGAGTTTCAAGGTTGCACATCTTTCTGATCCTCATGTAAGTAACTGCCCACAAGTCAGCAGTGACACCCTTGCACGGTGCCACCAGTGGGAGCAGCTTCGACTTCAGTTCAGCCGACCTTGCACTTTTGTGATCCCTTGTTGAGAGTTCGATGAAGCGCTGGTCGCTATCAACGTACAAGTTTGAAACTCTGCATAGGTCAGACCACCTACTTCTTGAGTACAGCAAGTGTAAAATGTGTCCTGTCATGACACGGTCACCCAATGCACAGCTCTCGTCCTCCAAGATGTTGTGGAGACGCACCACCTCATCCAGGCGAAGTAAATCTGCAGGCCTCCATGGTTTCTTTGTTGATTTCATCTGAGCTGATATTCCTTTCACCCTAAGGCTACGTTCAGACTCATCGGCACCACGCACACCAAGCAAAAACCATACAAATCTGGGAGCGTCCAACAAACTAGAGGCCTTAGTTGGAGCGGCCTTGCTGTCTTTCAACCATTGCACATACTGCCACACGTGCATCTCTGACACAGGAATCCAGCTCTCCCTGTGAGTGTCTGCACACCACTGGTCGTAGGCTTGCAGCGAGTACAAGCGCCTGAAAAGGGTCCCAGGGCTTTTCACTGCAAAAACTGGAATCAAGGATCTGTAAGGCCACTTGGTTCACACTGTCAGCTGTGGCCTCCACTGAAACCTTTAATCCAATTGTTGAATCGCACAAAGAAGAAGAAAGCACCTTCCAGAAACCTTGTAAAGCGTCTCTACGTTTCTGAAGTTTGTCAACTGACGCATCAACATCTTCCACTTTTCGCACAACTTGCATAAAAGCTGGATTGCCATGTAATGCAGGTTTCACCACAGCTGTAGCAGACATTTGACCCTGTAGCCCCACATCCACATTGAGCTCCACTGGATTCCTACCACCAGGCTTCAAACGCATGTTTGGGATCTTCACTAAAGGCTCTGACCCAAAAACCTTGGCTAGTCGCCCTTTCTCCCAAGGGTACTTGAAAACATTGAGATTCGTCCCAAGCAAAGCGCCCCTCTCAAGTTTGTGGCTCCTTGACGAACTAGATGTATGACTCACCGGAATGTCAACTAGTTCATCCACTGTGCTGTCCACGACTGAAAAGGGTTCCACATTCTCAGCTAGCTTAGGTTTCTTTCCAGAAGCATCCATGTCAAGAGTTGCACCTTCAAAACCAGTCTGCGAATTGCATTCAGAAACATCAAGCAAAGACTGCTCTCCATACTTGTCACACCACCTCTTTCGAAAGCCTTTGAATTGCCCAGCACTGCCCTCGCTGTCGGACTCACCACCCTCAGCGTAACCTTCTGTGTTCAACGCAGGCATGGTTTGTATGCGGACCAGGTCTGCAACACTGCACTTGGCAAAACTTGCAGTGATACTCACACGTCCAAGGATGACGCAAACGAGTAGGAGGCTCCCAAATAACAGGTGCCTCAAATCCCGCATCAACCTGTGAAGAAGCAGCTGAGGACTGTGCCACTGTTGTTGGAGAAGATGCCTTGGCTTTTGCGGCTGGTGCTGGTACCTCGGGCTCAATCACAGAGGCACCTGAAGACAGGTCTGAATCTACAGATGCAGACTGCTGCTCAGCACCACCCAACCGCTGTCTCAAGATGCTCGTCGCCAGCTGAATCAAAAGCAACAGTTCTGAAATGGTGTAATCACTCAAGTCAGTCACCTGTCTAAGTCCCATGGCTTGTCGAGACAAATGCAATGAAAGTGGGCCCACCCGCCCTACCCTTAAACCAAATGTAGCAGCATCCACTTGAATTGCAAGGTCAATTCACTCAAGCAAATAAGCAGTTGTCATACATGACATCTAGTTTATGTAGATGTATAAATAAGTGTTTACATGTATACAAAAATAGAAATATATATATATACACATATATTTATAAAAATTAAATATACCAGTAGTACCGCACAAGGCGGTGGCGGAAGTTTCAGAATAGGAAACCTATAGGAGACGTTGGTTGTTGTGAATCACGGATGGCAGGGCGAATCCACTGATTGACCGAAAGGTGGTTGGAGTTGTGTTTGCTGGAATGGTTGCAATGGTTGCAGTGGTCACCTCACCCACAACTGCTGGATGTAGTGTGATGTACTGCAACTGTAGCTGTAGTTGTAGCGTAGTGGAGTTGTAGTTATGGTGCAATGTAATTAGTGTAGTGTAGTTGCAGTCATATAGTTGTAGCTGTAGTTGTTTTGTAGTTGTAGTTGTAGTTGTTGTAGTTGTAGTTGTTGTTGTAGTTGTAGCTGTAGTTGTTGTGTGGTTGTAGTTGTTGTGTAGTGTAGTTGTAGTAGTAGCAGTAGTAGTAGTTGTTGTTGTTGTTGTAGTAGTTGTTGTAGTTGTTGTAGTTGTTGTAGTTGTTGTAGTTGTTGTAGTTGTAGTTGTTGCTGTTGTGGTAGTAGTAGTAGTAGTTGTTGTTGTTGTTGTTGTAGCTGTAGTTGTTGTAGTTCTAGTTCTAGTTGTAGCTGTTGTGTAGTTGTAGTTGTAGTTGTAGTTGTTAATGTAGTAGTAGTTGTTGTTGTTGTTGTTGCTGTTGTTGTTGTTGCTGCTGTTGTTGTTGTAGTTGTTGTAGTTGTAGTTCTAGTTGTAGTTGTAGTTGTAGTTGTTGTGTAGTTGTTGTAGTTGTAGTTGTTGTGTAGTTGTTGTAGTTGTAGTTGTTGTAGTTGTTGTGGTTGGTGTTGTTGTTGTAGTTGTTGTTGTTGTTGTTGTTGTTGTTGCTGTTGCTGTTGCTGTTGCTGTTGTCGTCGAAGTTAGGGTAGTTAAGTTAGTGAAGTTAGTTAAGTTAGTCAAGTTAGTTAAGTTAATCAGTGTCTACTTTTTCGACATCTTCACGTCAAAAAAGGCTCAAAACCCTCAGTTTTTTACACTTTTGACTTCGAAATGTGCTTCGCGCCACAACGGCGTGCACTTTTTCGACACTTTTTCGACATCTGAACCTCCCAAAGTGGTCCGAGACCGTCAGTTTTTAACACTTTTGACTTGGAAATGTGCTTCGCGCCACAACGGCGTGCACTTTTTCGACATCTCAACTTCCAAAAGTGGTCCGAAGCTGAAGGTTTTGTACATTTTGACTTGGAAATGTGCTTCGCGCCACAACGGCGTGCACTTTTTCGACATCGCAACTTCCAAAAGTCGTCCGAAGACCTAGTGTTTTGTACATTTTGACTTGGAAATGTGCTTCGCGCCACAACGGCGTGCACTTTTTCGACATCTCAACTAGTAAAAGTGGTCGGAAGCTGGTGTGCTTTGTACATTTTGACTTGCAAAAGGTGCTTCGCGCCACAACGGCGTGCAATTTTTCATCTTCATCTGGCCAGCTGGCTCCGCACCCGCCGCTTTAGCGAGCCTACTTTTTCGACCCTCCGGAGCCACAAATCATTGGAAAAACACAGTGTTTCGCGACTTTCCTACCTTTTCACGCATCTGCATCTTCTTTCTTCTTACTCTTCTTTCTTCTAATCTTCCTCTTCTCTCTGCCTCTCCCCTACTCTGCTTTTCATCTGTCCATATTGTCGGAAGTTTGACTTCTAAACTTCCTTCGATAAATATAACAACACTTCACTTAACTTGAAAACCACGCAGGCAGTGCATGCATACTTTTCCAGATTGGTTTGTCTGCACGTCATCCAGCATCATAGGCTGGGGGCTAGGCCGCGATGATCAGTGGAACTGCCTGCTCAAGAGTTCACAGCGTGAAAAATTACCCAGTCGTTGTATGCCAAAAAATCATGACACCAAAATTGCAGGGTTTCCCCAAAACTTGAACATTATGCTTTGTGATATCATCAACTGCGGTGACATGAATGGTTGCAATGTGTGTCATGTCAATGACCAACTGAGCAGCTGCAGCTCTCACTTCTTTTTCTAGCCAAATGGGGAGAAATCGTTCCACTCCACTTCGGCGCGCGCTGGCATAGGCCCTGTGCACGACCAGCCAATTAACAAGCTGAACGTCGATGTTGAAGAAATTGATGGCGATTGCAACTCATCGAAAGTCCAGATTCAACAGTTTCAAGCGGCCATGTTGGCGCAAATGTTGCTGCAGACGGCGGCACGCCTGTAGAAGCTGCATGGTCAATACGAAGTTGAAGTTTTTCAAAGTCTGCAGCTCAGTGCGCATAGTCTGGACAATTTGGGATGCTTGATGGAGGGTGTGATCGTCAAAATGATCGGATACATCGATCAGGAACTCGTCAATGAGGTCTAGCTGATGCACATAATTTGGGTCGCAAGCACGTGACGAAAGATGGACTGCAGCGAAGTGTCAGGTTGCACGTCAATATTGCAAAAAGGGTGGGAGTGGTACTGGGACGAAAATGTGAAATGTTGTGAGAGTGGAATGAACATGTCAAAGTAATGCATGGAAACATTGTCCTGAAGATGTCTTCTGCAAAAGTGACATTGAAATGTTTCCATATTGTCTTATGCATGCATGTTCAATCATGATTCCACTCCTATGCAGCACTTGCTGCAGTCTCACATGAGACTTAAACCACAGATGACCTTCATTTGATTGTCGTGACTGTCCCACATTGCAACTGACATGAAACCTGGATTCATCAAACTCTATCACCGCAGTCACTTCACAAGTTACGTTTTCTGATGACATCAGTCGCATAAAAACCTATCATGATTCTCATGAGAGTATTCTTATGCTTTGTGATATCATCAACTGCGGTGACATGAATGGTTGCAATGTGTGTCATGTCAATGACCAACTGAGCAGCTGCAGCTCTCACTTATTTTTCTAGCCAAATGGGGAGAAATCGCTCCACGCCACTTCGGCCCGCACTTACCGCAATGACTTGGCCCGCGTGGTTCCAAGCCTTGTTCGTGTCCACAAAAGTCCTGGTCAACCCTGACCACTGAGCCACTTGGCTCCTGGACAACTCCAACCATATGTGGCACGAATGTTCTTCTTCCAGCAAGAAAATTTGCTTCAGTCCTTTGCTGCAAGGTTCGTTACTTGACCAACTTCTCAAAAAGCTTCCTCTGACAGACTCCCGATCAGTGAATGCCACAACATGGCGTCCTTCCGATGAAGGGCACCACAACTCTGTGGCTATCAAGAGCGCGAGCATTTAAAGTTCCTGATTCATTGTATGCTGGTCTGCACCCATGGCAGCAAGAAGGAAAGACTTTGTCACCTGTTCACTGAAGCAACCAAGGCCTGTCCCAGTGCTAGAGTAAACAACCCCTCCCACACCTGAATACCCGTCCAAACCACAAAATGAATCTAAAAGCTGAAAGCTGGGAACGTTATAGAAGAGTTTTGTGAGTTTCCTCCTTGAGCTTCCATATCTGCAATGATGAAATAGTACTTCTCGCAGGGAAAATTTTCGCATCAACTTAATGAAAGGCTTGGTAGCCCACATGAAAGATCTTCCTGGGTTTTCGATGGAAAAGTACTTATTATTATTACTATTATTATTATTATATGGGTTAACCAGAATTCAGAAAGGTCACTATGATTTGATATCGTTCATTCGCCGTGCACCCGGGTCTGGAGCACTCCGGCAAGACCAGGTAACCCGTCAGGGTACTCCCCACCGTGAGCTTTCACCTTCTGCCGCTCCCAATCAAGGCAGCCACTAAGAAACCAGTGCAGCCAAAGACAACACCTCAGCCCAAAAAGACCAGATCTCGTAACACCACTACGAAACCAAGCCTCCAAAAGGAAAAGAAAAATGGAAAGGGAAGAATAAGAGGGGAGCGGCCCCAATGTTCCACAAAGGCATGATTGACAAAAGGCCCCAGGCGAAATCAGCTCTGCTGTTTTCAATTTGCCCCAAGGCTGCCAGGAAGCGAAGGAGAGCCCAGCGGCGAGCAGTCCCACAGTTTGCACACCACCGCTGACAAATGTTAGTGGACGATTCAATTTTTCCAGAGGCAAGCATTCGAAGCAATGACCCATCACCAGGGTCATTCACACTGGCTTTTGTGTTTTGTTCTGTCCTTTTTACCTGTGCCACACCAATCGTGATACAATGATATTATCCATTTTGTACTCCAAGATTCCTACGAACTGATCAGCTTTGTTTCCTCTGTTGTGGCCGATCTCGCTCTAAGGCTCGATCCTGACTGTCGGTAAAAGCTGTACAAAAGAATAAACACTGTGGCTTCAAGTGAGGCGAATCATGGCCAAACAAGAACAAAAACCCAGCAACAAAGACGACCCGCAAATCTCCCGGCCAGATTTGCGTTTCGCCAGAAGAAAGACAGCGAAGCAACAAAAAACGGGGCCGGAGCCACACAAAGCAAAATAGCAACAAAAGGTGATTGCCTCAAGACACGAGATTGTAAAATCCACCGTGTCTGTGAATGTGCACAAACGAATTGATGAGCTGAGTCCAAACTATTGGGGTGAGATTCCTACAAACTGATCAGACCACCAACCGTGCTCTTCTTGGCTTTTTGGTTTGTTTTGTTTGTTCGT